ATTCAACGAACTACGTATCCTGATCCCAGGAAACTTCTCTATTCCCCGAGCAAACATTCACTTTTTAGGAACAAAGCTCTATCCTCTCTATCCTCGAAAGACGAGGCTCAATGACTTAGTTATCTTATGCGCATACTTCAATGAATATTGAAATCTAGAGGCAGTCTCTGAAAGACATTGAATGATTCTTAACTGAAGACCTCAAGGCCTGAATGGAGTAATGACAACTCTTGGTTCTGGATGGAAACTTACAATCGAAGCTCTCCAATAGGCCATCAAGCGCTAACAACCTTTGAGGGCAATTAGTGGACTTTTTTGTACGAATGTGGAACAATGGAGGTGAGGGCGTCTTGTTTTACCAAAAAAAGGAAGTGTATGAAAATCGATTTGATACTCAAGTTTGTTATTCTCACTACCGCGCAGGGATCCTTTATATGTCCCTTTCCACAAAGGCCATTACGACGGCAATCAAGCGGCAAGCGTGAATGAGTGTCATTAAGAGGTGTGAATTATTGGAATCAGGGTAGGTGATCTGGTTCACAGTGAGAACCCATTCCCCCCCCGCCCAAAAAAAGCCCCACTATTTCACAGCCTACCCTTACAACCCTCAGTATTCTTACTCTTCCGTAGTTTTCCCCAACGCTGCTGTCAAGCTGGTGGAGTGAGGGAGGGCGAGCAAGTGAAGATGAGCAATTTCCTCGAAATTCTGATGCTGAGCTGTCCAAAGTGGGAGAGGAGGGGCGTTCCATGTAGCTGGTGTATCGGTGTGTCCCAAGTAATGTTGGGAGAGTTACACCCTGAAACGAGAATATCACCAATTTCCTCGACCCCACTCGCCCTTCAGAAGCCTAGTACGACCCTGTTCTGGTATAGCCCCAACGAGTATACCAGGCTCTGTTCAGTTTAGGGCTGAAAAGCTGCACCACTACTTTATAGCCAGTGAGTAATAATCAGACGTTGAGTGCTCCGAGTAAGGAATTTTGGCACGCATCGTTACTCTACGAAGCATTATGTATGCTCAATTACTTTGAAATTCCTTGCACTGATATCATGCCTATACAGGCTCGTAGAGAAAACAAAACAACCACATGTAAGGGACTATTTCCGGTTTCCGATTATCGCTTTCCGCAAGGTCCAGACCTTTCTATTTATGCGTTCCAGTGTTCTGAAACTGACTGATGCACCACTAAGATCCGCAATCGTTGGCTTGCAGTCTGAACCAGTAATCATTTCAGCAATCGTAGCCAAGGCTGACTTTCAGATTACTGCCTCGGATCAAACTTTGACCGATTAACTTGCATTCCATATCCCGGATATGAGAGGGTGTGGCTGCTTCATTTGAACGCAGGTAGGCTGCGTTTTTGGTGCAATATTGCCGCTTGAGGGACCTTTAATAGCACAAAACAGGATGACAGTTGTCTTAAATGAGAATATCTCAAGGGAAACGCGGCCTACGCT